GCTGTTTATCGTTTCCCAGCTGTTCCTGCTTTCCCATTCACCCGCTTCCGCGCATTCCCTCCGCAACAGCTCATTCCCCGGGCCTCCCCCAAAATTCACAACGGGACTCATCCAAGGAGTTTGCGCCGAGTCGCCCGCGTCAGATGTCACAGTCATAAAACTGAAACCAGATTCGAGCTCGCTTGCGATCTCACTCCCGGTTCCCGCTGACGGGATTCTCGAACCTCGTGTCGAAAATATTTTTTGCGAAGCTTCATACGCGCCTCGAGCTTGCAACTGCGGTGGCTCTGGCTCGGCGCGCTGACAGACTCCGCCGCGCGTCACTCCTGTTCCCGCGGCGCCTCGTGAGTCGGCCCCGAAATTCGGGTAGAGCGAAACCGTGGCTGTGGCGGCCGCAGCGCCCATTGCACCGAGTGAGGCAGCTCCCGCGCTGGCATAGCGCGTAAAAGCGCGGTCGGCGGTGGGGCTTATTGGCGGCTGGTCGAGGCGAACCGCGCTGCCACCGAACTTGGGTTGTGCCTGCTTGGCGGGCGGGGGACGCCGTAGGCCAGAGGTAGCGAGGGCAGGGAGAAAAAAATATATTAGCGGTTCTACTTTTGAAGCGCCTCGAGAATACCGAGGCGCAAACCAAAAAGTGGTATGTCGTCATTTTGGATAGCGTGCTGACGGGATACAGAGCACGAAGTATATCTTTTAGGCGCCTCAAAAATAGACGCCTCGAAAATACCGAGGCGCCTAGAAAATTGGCATGTCGTCATTTTTTGGATAGTGGTGCTGACGGGATACAGAGCTCGAAGTCTATTTTTTGGGCGCCTCGAAAATAGACGCCTCAAGAATTCTAAGATGCATATACAATAGAATTTGGTATGGCGTCATGTTGGGAGCGGTGCTGACTGGTTACTGAGCTCGGGGGAGAGGAAAGCGGTGAGAAGGAACCGCAAACTCGAGATACTACTCTGGACTAAAAAGCAGGGAAAACGAACGAAAGAATGATTCTAAAGCCGAACTGTACTAGGTTCCAGTAATGGTGAACGACAATACGAAGAAGAATTACCCTCAAACTCCTCTCCGCATTTTCAGCCGCCACGTGCGCGTCAAACTCCCCCCTCATAGCGCTGCCGACGCGGTAAATTTCCGGCATTAACTGCGACGCGTCCTCGTTAGTCCCCTGCCGCAGCTTCACACTCGAAAGCGGCTTCAGCGGCCCGGAGTCCGCGGAATTGAAGCCTCCGCCTCCCGCCATTGGTCCGTACCTCTCCCCCGGTGCGCGGCTGGCGTCAGCACTATCAGTTCCAACAGGGCGGCGGTTCGCGGAAGCTACAGGAGGAACAGCAGCATAGTTTCCGGGCATGTGCTGAGAAACATCCTCGTAAGTTCCCGCGCGGATAGAATGGCCTCGATTGGCTCCAGAGAGAGCAAGAGCCGGCGGCAGGCGAGACATCATTCTACGGAAACTCAGGAACGCGAAATTAATAGTTTATGTAGAGGTAGAGCGCGTTTGGCGTTCTAGTCTAGGGGATGGGTCTGGTCGGGAATAACAGTACTACATCGTATGCTTCATGGGGAGGCTTGCGTTTGGTGTGTAATTTCAGAGTGAGGAGCTTTATATAAGCTTTTCAGGTGCTCGCTCAATTTCTCGACATACGACAAGTCACAGCACTTTTTTGCAAGAATCACGGAGGGAAGATGCGGAAAAGTGTCTGCTTCTTGACCTTCCATTCCACAACAAGTGACTCGACAAATCACGTGCGATGCGAGTGCGAGACTGCATCTGCGAGCGACCAACCACAACGGCTTTACAGTGGCACCACTTGCCTGCTGCCTCAGTCCGTCTTTACAGCAATGCTCTGTGCGCCATGTCTCTGCCAGATCATTCATGGAGGAGAGTTGCAAATGGTCCGAAATATAACGGTTCACCGTACACACTTCCTCTGAACCGCGGATAACATGCTACATACAGTACACTACTGTCATGGTGGTTGACACCAAATCAGATACCGTACCACGGGCAACAACACACAAGAAACTGGAAATGCCAGTCTGGAAAATCGCATCATCGTTCGCAATGTTGCGCGTCGTCATGTCATTTCCTGCACGCGGCAGGAACCAAAATGGTTGCAACGAAACCTGCCATGTCGTCTCATCTCACTTCACTGCCCGCCCGACAGTCACTGGTGTTGATGAGGCGAGCGGCCTTTTTTTTTTAAACGAGTCGCCCGCCAGTCATACGCTGAGCTGGAAGTGAAGATTGGTTCAGCTCCTCATCTCCCTCCCTCCCACAATTGATGTCAATAGCAAGAGAATAATGATACAGCACTTGCTATTCATGTACAAGATGTGCAAGCCAGCGCAGTGTAATATTCATATCCATTGTCACTTATGTACAACTAGATGCTTATAATAGATGGCCGATGTTTTTAAGACGATTTTTTTGTAGTATATCGTATGATTCAGCAAGAATAGCTTCGTTTCAGAGGGGCTCGGATCGTACTAGATTGGAGATTGAAATACAGGCTTTGCAGAAGGTGTGTTTGTTCTGAACACTCCCCTAGCTAACAAAGGTTTGTCTCCAATGGAGTACGTTACCTCCCAACACCTCCTCCAACGCAGCCTCTTTCCAGTTCTCGATCGATCGTTGGAACTTTCCGCAGGACTCGAATGCACTGCTCAAACTCGGATCGGATCCCGCCCGCAGAGTCCCACAAAACATATCGAGGTCGACAGCCCAGCCCTAAACACCAGGAGCTCCAAAGATATTCCACCTCCCACTCCACGCACTTGCTCCTTGTTTAGGCGCATTTAAGATTCTTTTTTATCATTCACCTCCCTCAAGTTTGAAGTTGGATCCAGCTAGCCCAGGTGTCAGTACTAGCCATGATGTTTGAATCTGCAAGTGATGGCTGGTATGCCACGCGGAAGAGAGAGAGTGGCTTCCAGGATCGCCATCATTGAGTCGGTTCATCCCGTCCACATATACTTCACAGTGGCTACTGATTTCTTGCTTGTCACGCGTGAGTGGCGATTGGAAACATCTGCAGAGACGATATTATGAATACACTATGGAACACAACTTTGCTCCAAATTCCTTGGAGCAAACGTGGTGGTACATGTGCTCTGCCCGGTGGAAGATATATAATGATAAAAGCGCGACAGCAGTCTAAGAGAAAATATACTTTCCATGTACTATGAGAAAGACGTGAGAATCCAGCAGTCTAGTGTATTCTGAAACACCCAGGTTTTGATCGCTTGTGTCTTCAACTGACCCGACCGTTTACATTGCAGTGGCAGAACCGCAGCGCCTCCAGCGAGTCGCACTGTCGTAGCCAATTGGAAACAACATACGGGGATAGGAAATTCACTTTCTCTAAAAGCTTGGCAGGGGCAGCTTGCAAGTGGCCGCACTTAGGCTGCTTCCGCGATCTGACGGTTATAAGCCGAAATGAAAGCATACAACCGCCTCCAGCCGCAAGTGTCAAAGCTGCTGGGACGAAAGGGAAAATGTCGACACGGTTTGCTCAGTTGCTAAGTATTTGGACTATAGTTTATGCCAGTACTGAATTAGCTGGGTATGCAACTCCCTGGCTCTGTGTTGTGAGTTCCAACCAGATTGCCGAGAGCACTCCATTCTTCTCTTCCCCCACAACAAGACCTCCCACACACCAAATTATTGGCTCACAGTGGCTCACCAAGTCCGACAGTGCCTGATTCAGGTGCAATCAACCTGGATTATTCCAGCTGTCACACATTCGGTTCGGTGCTCCCCGTGCTTCTAGCTTCAGACGTTGACTGGGAATCAACTTGGATTGTGTCGTCGGGTGTGACGGTCTCACACTAACTTCAAACGTCGTAGTGATAGAGCATCATAATTCTAACTTCCATCTTTCAAAGAATCTATTTTCTTCCAAATCGTTGCTACTCCCCAATGGAGTCAAGCGTACCGCCTTCCTCCTTCACGCGTTCTCGCCGCGACACTCTGGCGGCAGTAGCGGAAGCGACATCGGCTTGGGCCGACTTTTTAGAATCGAGTGACGACATGGAAGGGGGAGCGCCGTGCCGCCGAAGCATGTCGACGCCCAACCGAGGGGCGGCGGCGGCGGCTAGAGGATTGGCGGTTGGAGTTGTCGACCCTTACGCGAGCGCGGCGCTACGTGGCAGTGCAAACTCTACATTGCAGGTTCCAGGGGCTCCCAGAATTTTCGAAAGAGGATTCGAAAGCTCAAGCTCGCGAAGCTCGTCGCACAGCTCGTTTAACGAAAGAGTCGCACGGTGCGACAGCGGCCTCATGATACAATCGACGTGGTCCAGCGATTCGCTTGCGACGGGAATAGTTTCGCGATCCGTTTCAGATTCAACGGCCTCAGAAGTCTCATGCGAAGATTGCGGCGGGGATTGCGGCGCATGTGACAGATGTGTATTTGCTGCAAGGAAAACCATAAAGCTAACTCGACGCGCGAGCTTCGCGGCTCCCGATCTTGCAATTTGCCCCAACTGTCGGAGCAGCAGCGGTTGCGGCTGTGCCGACGCGGCGTTAGCGTGCGATCCGGGGTGGGTGGATAACGCGCGCTGCCGCATTCGCGATGCGGCGCTTGAGCTGGTCGAAGCGCAGCAAAGGTGGACCGTTGCTCACGAGGAGGAGTTGACGTGGCTAGAAAAGTCGCGAACCGCGCCGACTCGCCTCTCGCGGCGCGCCTCGCTCGACGCGTCGCTGTGCCGACTTCCTACAAGTTCGTCCAGGATATCCAGGAAGGCATGCAACGTGGAAGCGAAGGAGAAGGTTGAGGTGGAGACGGGTGTCAGCGCCAGCTCCGTTACAAGCAACACAAGTGCGCGCACAAAAGGGAGTCGATTGTTTTCCTCGCTGAAATCTCCCATGGTAAAGAAAAATAGGGTATTTTCATGGCTGTACAGTTCATAAACTTCGGAACATATTATTTTATTCACATGCTGTATCCACAAGCTGATATTACACAGCAGCTAGCATATACAAAATTGTTTTGCGATCACCCAGGCCTTGGAATCTTGGATAAGTCGGGTATCCAGAGGGCAAGAAGCACGGATGCTGTGGCAAACATGAGCCGACGCGGGGCCCATTTTACCACCGATGGCACCCCAGCATGGTTACCCCAGGTTGCCACCTGCATTGGGGAAATGAGGGGAGGAATTCAGGAATGGGAGAAAAGGGTAGAGGGTTATGTGCTTTCATGCGTATTTGCGTGCATCATAGCATGTGTGCTTGCACGCCTTATTGCAAGGGTGCTTGCACATGCGTCATTGCAAGTGTGCTTGCATGCATGCATCATAGAATGTGTGGTTCCATGTGCGAGCGAGCGAGAACAGAAAAGGAAGAGGGAAAGGGGAAAAAGAGCAACGGGAGATGATGGGGAGGAAGGGGAGCCAACCTGAGCGCCAGTGGTGGCACTCCAAGCCTTCACCGTGCCATCACCCGAGCCTGAGAGCAGAGAGCAGAGCAGAGAGAGCAGAGGGCAGCGAGGAGAGAGCAGAGAGCAGCAAGGAGAGGGCAGAGAGCAGGGAGCAGAGAGGAGAGAAGATTGGAGAGCGAGAGCAGAACGCAGAAAGCAACAACTGAGCTGACATGCACATTCTTGCCATCATAGGATTCTGAAAGCAGTTCGTGTCGGGTGTCAGGAGCAGCAGTGACAAGATTTGGAACAGTGAAGCGAGATATAACCCAAAGCAGAGAACGTATGAATGGGCGGCAGACGGGAATAGGCGGGTGTAGAGTATTTGAATATCTGTAAGTAGTGAGAATATTATGACTTAAATGTACCTGATACGACGTATTTGGCATCTGGGCTGAAAGAGGCCTCCAACGGGGCACCGTCAATGTCAGGTACGACACAGAGAGTGTGTAGCTGGTGGTGGGAGGGAGAGGAGGAAGCAAGGGGAGGAGTAAGGAGGGGAGGGATGGAGAGTACCATTGTTCAGGCACCAGTGAAGAGGGGGAGGAGTGGGAGGGAGGGAGGGAGGGAGGGAGGGAGGGAGGGAGGGAGGGAGGGAGGGAGGGAGGGAGGGAGGGAGGGAGGGAGGGCGGGAGGGAGGGAGGGCGGGAGGGAGGGAGGGCGGGAGGGAGGGAGGGCATGTACATTCTGTGTGACACCCTATGCCACAGTCCGCTCTACATCCCCAGTCACACCGTGTGCCACAGCCTGCGCTACAGCCCGTGCCACACCCTGTGCCACAGACCCAGACACAACTCTGGCTTTCGAGTGCATATCGCGGGTAGGTTTGGCCGTTGAGTGTGCAGCGAATTCAATAACAACCCCACTGCAGAGAATCTCAACCTATTCATATGAAAAGAAGATCGAATCACCAAGGAGCCAACCTTCTGCCCTTCGAACGCATCGAGCCGGTATATGCGGCCGTTGAGGGTGCAGACAGCTACTAGTGTATCACAGCCTTACATTACACTACATTTACAACACCTATGCGACACTGAAAAAGGACCCACCTTCTGCCCTTCGAACGCATCGAGCAGGTAGATGCGGCCGTTGAGGAGGGTGCAGGCATCCCATGCATGCTGCGCGCTCACCCTGTGCGGTCAACCCCACTCACCCTGTGCGGTCAACCCCACTCACCCTGTGCAGGGAATTTGTTGGTGCCTAAAGGTGCAGACAACCCCACTGGAGCAGGAAAAAGGACCCACCTTCTGCCCTTCAAACGCGTCCAGCAGGTATATGCGGCCGTTGAGAGTGCAGACGAGGATCTGGTTGCCATCGTTGCTGAACTTGATGGATGTCACCTCGTCCTCGTCTCCCCCCACCAGCATTGTGTCAAAGGGACCCTGTTGGAATGGAAAAGGAAATATGAGTGTTACCCTAATGATGACTGAACTTGATGGACGTCACCTCGTCCTCGTCCTCGTCCCCGCCCACCAGCATTGTATCAAAGGGACCCTGTGGGGAGGGGGAAGGGACGGGGGGGCCGGGGGTTTCAAGTTGTGGGGGGGGAGAGATTGGAGGAGAGAGGGTGGAGGATCATGGGAGGAGGAGGTGAGGGGATCTGGTTGCCGTCGTTGCTGAACTTGATGGACGTCACCTCGTCCTCGTCTCCTCCCACTAGCATCGTGTCAAAGGGACCCTGATGGGGAGGGGGAGGGGGAGTAGGATGCGGAGAAAGAGGGGGATGAATTTGGAGAGAAAGCGCAGAGAGAGAAAGAGAGAGTGGGCAGCGGAGGAGAGGAGGGGTAAAGGGGAAGAGAGGATCTGATTGCCGTCGTTGCTGAACTTGATGGATGTCAACGACGGCAACAAGCTTCCCCATCGTCCTCGTCCCCATGCATCGTGTCAAAGGGACCCTGCAGGGAGGAGGGACATCGGCGAGACCTCGAATCAACCCCCATCACCCCCATCACCCCCATCACCCCCATCACCCCACATCACCCCCATCACCCCCATCACCCCATCACCCCCATCACCCCCATCACCCCCATCACCCCCATCACCCCCATCACCCCCATCTCATCACATCACCCCCATCACCCCCATCAACCCCATCATCGCCATCACCCCCATCACCTCCATCAACCCCATCACCGCCATCACCCCCATCACCCCCATCACCCCCATCACCCCCATCACCCCCATCAACCCCATCACCGCCATCACCCCCATCACCCCCATCACATCACATCACCCCCATCTCATCACATCATCCCCATCATCCCCATCACATCACATCACCCCCATCACCCCCATCACCCCCATCACCCCCATCACATCACCCCCATCACCCCCATCACCCCCATCACCCCCATCACCCCCATCACCCCCATCACATCACCCCCATCACCCCCATCACCCCCATCACCCCCATCACCCCCATCACATCACATCACCCCCATCACCCCCATCGCCCCCATCACCCCCTCATCAGCATGTGCCAAGGGGAATCTGCGGGGAGGGGATATGGGCGATGGGAAGGTTCGTTGTGTGGTTATGCACCCAAACCCTATGTGGGCGGGAAGACAACCCAGGGTTCTTATGCATAAGAACCACGGTTGGGAATAGGCTGTGTGGATAAGCACCTAGAACCATGGTTATGTGGGTCGGAAGAAAACGGGAATTAGTGCATAGGTCTGTGGATTCATGGTTGGTCAGATGGGAGACCAAACGGACGGCCAAGATAGGAGACAAGAGGTCGCTGGATTGCTAGACACACCTTCTCGTACGAGCGAGCATCAAACAGCTTCACCGCGCCTCCCCCCATGGCCACTGCAAAGACGAGCCCCTGCTGATCGAATGCCACTGCTGGCCGCCCCCTCACTCGCATTAAGCCCTGCGTGGGGGGAAGATGGGAAGATGGGACAATACGAGAGATCCATGGGATGTGAGGAAGGATGGGCGGAGCATTGGGAAACAACGCAAGGGTGAGCAAACGAGCCCCTGCTGATCGAATGCCACTGCTGGCCGCCCCCTCACGTGCATGAGACCCTGGAGAATGAGTGGGGAAGGAAGGGTTAAGGGGATGGGAGGACGGGGAGCGGATGGGTGGAGCAGCACAGGGCAAGGGTGAGCAAACGAGCCCCTGCTGATCGAATGCTACTGCTGGCCGCCCCCTCACGTGCATGAGACCCTGGAGAATGAGTGGGGAAGGAAGGGTTAAGGGGATGGGAGGACGGGGAGCGGATGGGTGGAGCAGCACAGGGCAAGGGTGAGCAAACGAGCCCCTGCTGATCGAATGCCACTGCTGGCCGCCCCCTCACGCGCATCAGACTTTGGGGAAAGAGTGGGGATGGATGAGAGGGAGCGAGGAAGGGAGCTGGAAGTGAAAGAGAGAGGGAGGGAGTTGGAAGTGAGAGGGAGGGAGTTGGAAGTGAGAGGGAGGGAGTTGGACGTGAGAGGGAGGGAGTTGGACGTGAGTTGCGCCATAACAACATGGCGCCTAGAATCACTTGCTTCTGCTCACATATAACACCAAGCTCACAACTAACAACTTTATTTCGATACCCTAGATAGAAGCTGATCCATGGGTCAAACCCACACTTCTGAACCGTCAACCGTTGGCTGCTAACCTGACACTCGCATGTTCTGAGTTTTGATTCGACTCAAAACTCACTTCTTGAGTCGACTGAAAACTCCCATGGGTCAAACCACACTTCTGAACTGGCAACCGTATGCTGCTGACCTGGCACTCGCACGTTCTGAGGTCCCACAGTCGGACAGTGTGGTCGAGGGCTCCTGAGAGGAAGGAGTCGTTTTTGGGTGACATGCACAGGGAGACGACTCTGGCGAGGAAGGGAGAAAGTCGATTGGATGGGGGACAACAGAGCGCTGGACGGGAAATGAGTGGAACAGCATAATCGAGGGGAGAGGAGAAAAGGGCAGTGGTTCTGGAGGGATGCACAGAGAGACGACTCTGCAGGTGAGAGAGGGGCGAGAGTGCAACAGGGACAATGAGCCAAGGAGAGTGTCGAGAGAGAGGGGAAGGAGTCGTTCTTAAAGGATATGCACAGGGAGAGGACTTTGGTGAGAGATGGAAAGACTTTTGAGTAGACTCAAAAGGATATGCACAGGGAGAGGACTTTGGTGAGAGACGGAAAGACTTTTGAGTCGACTCAAAAGGATATGCACAGGGAGAGGACTTTGGTGAGAGACGGAAAGGGGGGGGGGGAAGAGGGGAGAGAAAGGGTCGGACTAGAGTTGACCAGACATTCCAATCTGGTAACGACTGGGGCACTCACTTGTCCCGATGACCTTTGAAGTAGCGTAGATAACGGTTGTCGTAGAGGGAGAGATAGCGCAGCGATTCTGGTGGTGGTGGGGGGGGGGGGGGGGGGGGGGGGAAATGCAAAGAGAGGGAGGAGGGAGAAAGCGAGGTAGGGAGGCCACTTTTACGAAGCATCTTATAAACAGAAACGAAACGCACCATCCAAGCAGAGGAACAGGGAAATGCCAGAGGAATTGGAGCACAGCAAATGGAGTGGGGAATTACAACCAGGTATGTCGTCACTCAGGAAAGCACTACCAGCCATTTCCATTCCACCCCCACCATCTGAAACTTACCATCCAGAACATACCATCCAGATCCCACCATCCAGAACATACCATCCCGAACATACCATCCAGAACATACCATCCAGAACCCACCATCCAGATCCCACCATCCAGATCCCACAATCCAGAACGTACCATCCAAGCCGTTTTTGGAGGAGTAGAGCACGGCGGAGGGGTGGTGGGTGAAGATGACCTGATCCACACCTACCCACCCCCCCCGACCACCTTTAACGTACCATCCCAGCCGTTTTTGGAGGATTAGAGCACGGCGGAGGGGTGGTGAGTTCGAACCAGCTGTGTTGTCACTCAAGAAAGCACTACCAGCCATTTCCAAACTCACTCAACCATCCAGATAAATAACTTACCATCCCAGCCGTTTTTGGAGGAGTAGAGCACGGCTGAGGGGTGGTGAGTGAAGACCACCTGATCCACTCCATACTTGCGGCTGTGAATCGTCTTCACCAGGCTGACGTGGCACAGGAAGAGGGTAACCAGCCACACCGTGCAGGATCATGCCATGTACAATGTTATGCCATGCCATGCCGTGCCGTGCCGTGCCATGCGGTGCCGAGCAGTCAAAGACATCAAATTGATCCAACATGTGCATATCAATAATCAATTGAGCATGTCATTAACGTTTAAGAAGAGAAATGACCTGGAGAGAGTGGTTGCATGAAAAGACGACCTGGTTTGCTTTCTAGAGCAAACATGCAAGGAGCATCACGTCATGCTTACGTGGCATTTGACGTGTCATAGACTCGGATGGACTCGTCATCACTAGCCGTCACGAGAAGGTCCTCCGTCCGATGAAAATCCATCGAGTTGATCCGACCGTTCTTCTCAAATGGAAACCAACAGGGATGGAAGGCCAGTGAGGGTATGTCAAGTGGGAAGGTGGAAGGAAGAAGTTTCAGAAAACCAACGGCATAGGGAAGAACACACAGACGTGGACATTAGATAATACAAGACATCAGTCTCACTGAGAGAAGAGGACTGTGGAGGAGGGAAACCGAGGAACTAGTCATACTTCAGAAGAGAAAGACAAGGGGAGGACTAGGAGAGCATGCGCAATCAGCGACGAGAATGAGCGGGCGTACCATACGTTAGACAAAGTTGGAGGGAGGCGTTATACTGTGCATCAGTTGCGAAAAAAAACGGAGACGCATCACACTCGCGAAGAAAACGAGCGAGCGTACATAGTCCTCGAGTACAGATGACACGGAGCCATACTTATGAGCATTCCGTAACGGAGGGAACGGGCGGTCGTACATAGTCGTTAAACATAAAACGACGAGACGCGAGATTGCGGAGCAACATAAGAGAGGAGTGAGAGCGAGCGTACATAGTCCTTGAAGAGCGCGCCGACAGCCATGCTGTTGACGACCCCATCTGACAGAGCTAGAGGCATCGCGACCCTCTATCTCGGCGTATAAAATTTTGTCAGTACAAGAATAACGTTTCACTCTTCCCTCGTTTTATCCGGATCGCGAGATTCGTTTGGTGTGCTCTGCAGTTGTCAGTCGAGCTAAAGCCGTTCCCGAGCCTAGCTATTTGGATCCGGGATTACGATCGGCACACAAGGATGCTACACGTAGTTAAGTCTGAGAGATTGAAGAGACAGGAGTGCGGGAGATGTCAGGTATGACAAGGCTTGAAGTTGACGAGTCTCTCCAAGCACACCCCAGAAAGATCAGTTTAGGGCGTGTCCAGTTCGTTCACGGCGGGCTTTTTAGTGCCGACACACGTCTCGAGGTTCAAAATTAATCCCTGTACCTAAAAACGAATGCATTGTGAGTTGAGTCCAACCATCTGTAATTTCAGGAGCGCGGACACGTTACCCGTCACACGAATCAACAGTGCTCTGACCGCGTTCGAAACGAGGTAACAGTTTTTCTCGTCAATCATAGCTAACGAACTTTTGGGCACGCGCAGGGGGTGTTGGCGAGTGTAGCGAGCCCCTGGCGAAATCGTGCAAGCGATTCAGGGGGTACTTACTGTAGTGGCCAGGACGCGGTGCTGCACCCTTGTTCGCGTCCCGCTGATTCCAGTAACGTGAGTCAGACGACTCGAGGTACGTGCACGGGGCGTGCCGTCTTGTGAACGAAAGCTGATTGTGTCCGCAGAACACGTTCAATACAGTGTTACATAAAAATATGTGGTAACTGAGCGGGTTTACGAACAGTAAATGTACGAGCTAGACACCCCCTTAGTAGAGATGGTTGTTACGGGTGCAATGAATCGAAGTAGCGAGAATTGCACTAAGGTGTCAAACGAGTACAAAATGTGAGCGAAGGCATGAGCGAACATTTATACGCGAAACATGCAAACGGTAACGCGGTGCGTGCGAGCTAGCTAGTGCTATGCTGGCAGCGAGGCTCGGGCTAGTCCCGAAGCGTAGGCCGACCGGTCGGGCCAGCAGTGCGAGGTTTGGTGAAATAGTGCGCGCGAAGTTGGCGAAGCCCCGTTAGCAGTAACGGGCGAACAACGGCTGCTGCTGTACGCGATGTTGCAGGGCGCGCTAAGGAATATCGAGAAAATTCCTTACACTACCCACCCCCCAAGAAGCCCCCTCCGCTACGCGAGTGCGTGTATATCGCGGAAACCCCGGCTCCTCAGGTACACTTGCAGGGCAGGGTGGTTTTCGATGTTGGCCAGGGGTACCCAGCTATTCTCAGTTGGCATGCGGTCCTTCCAGCGAACGAGGAATTCAATCCTCCTGATTCCCGTGGGGTGTCGAATCCGATGGCTCAGGATTTTTTCGGGCTCGATGATCGGCTCCGATGCAGGGCGAGTCATGGATGGCGGGCGGTGACGAGGCAGTTGGCTTGTGGTTGGGATGTATGGGTGAAGCAGGCTGACGTGGAATGAAGGGCTGATGTACCAGTCCGTCGGCAACAGTAAGTGGGCTGTCACTGGTGTAATCATGTGGCTGATTTGAAATGGTCCACAGTAGCGCGGCCGTATTTTCGGTACGACGGGCAGTCTTAAGTTCTGTGTGTCGAGCAGTACGTAGTCTCCTGACTGGTACGTGACTGGGCGGCGGTGGCGATCAGCGTTGCGCTTAGCGATGACATTGGCTTTGTTAATTGCTTCAGCGGCTCTGGTGCGGGCAGCTTGCAGAATTTCGGCGAATTGCTGTGCACGTGGCGTTGGGTTGTCCGGGCTCGGCGTCATGGGCACTGTAGGGTTCTACCCGTAGTTCAGGTAGAAAGTGTCGAACTATATGCCTATGTCATAATAAAATGTAGGCTTTAGTGGGGTAGCTAATCTAAGGTATAGGTTTTATTACTTGTACCCAACTTTCTCGATAGTGCAACCACCCTTTTCCTTCCCTTACTCTCGACATGGTATTAAGAGCAAAATAGGTCCTTAGGAACGTTTTAGGACTGTTTTTCAGGGCCCACCAACCGTTTTCCGCCGGTTACCGCGTTACCCCGCCCCTTGCCTACACTGCCCTGAGTCGTGCAGCCCTCGCGCTCGCCTCTGCTGGCCCTCGTGCAGCCCGCTAGCAGCCCGCCTGCTGCCTCGTCAGCCCCGCGCGTAGCTCGCTAGCTGCCTCGTCAGGCCCGCGCGCCGCCCCGCAGCCCTCGCGCTGCCTTCTCCTGCCCCGCGCGCCGCTCCGCAGCCCTCGTGCTGCCTTCTACTGCCCCGCGCGCCGCCTCTCAGCCCTCGCGCTACTTGTACTGACCCGCGAGCGCGCAGCCAGCCCGCTGCCTTGTCAGCCCCGTGCGACGCCCGCACAGCCCGCCCGCTGCCTCGTCAGCCCCGCGCACTGCCCTCCCACTGCCTTAAGCAGTGCTCGTACTACCCTCCCACTGCCTTAACAGCCCTCGTGCTGCCTTAACAGCCCTCCCACTGCCTTAACAGCCCTCGTGCTGCCTTAGTAGCCCTCGTGCTGCCTTAGTAGCCATCGTACTGCCCGAGCAGCCCTCGTACTGCCCTTCCTCCGCCCTTGTTGCTCGCGCCCTTTGCCTGCTGCCTACTGCCTTTGCCTACTGCCTTTGCCTGCACTGCGATTATGGCGACACTTAATGTTCTCGCGTTTGAGCCTGACGGTCGCCCGATAGAGTTTACCACGTGGCTAGACGATCTCCAACTGTTTCTTCTGACTGATGCCAAAGACGGCGTTTCACTGTTCGATTACGCGTCTGGCACTGCCGTTGCTCCTGCTGACGATGCTACCGCTCTCGAACACTCACAGTGGCAGACTTGCGATGCTGCTGCACACCTAGCTATTCAAAATCATCTGCCGATCACTGAGCGCGCGCATTTCAGCCAGCACAAAACTGCTAAGGCACTGTATGACGCTGTAGTTGCACGCTACTCCTCCCCGGCCACTGCAGCCCCAGGTCGGCTCATGCTACCCTATCTGTTCCCAGACCTGTCCTCGTTTACCACTGCTGAGGACCTCATCTCTCACCTTCGCGCTAGTGACACTTGCTTTCGTGCCGCCCTTCCAGCCGAATTCTGCGCCGAGAACCCCCCCCCCCCCCCCCCCCGATGTACTTCACTCTCTATTTCCTCGTCACCCGCCTCCCTGACACTCTTAGCTCCGTCAGGGACCACTTCCTAGCCCTAGACCCTACCACTCTCACTGTCGCCGACTTCCAGAAGCACCTCCTAGCAGCAGAGAAGAACATCCTCGCTGTAGGTGCTGTTCGTGGTACTCCTCGCACTCCCCTCTTTGAGGGGTGCTCCCCCTCCCCTCTTACCCCCTCCTATGCCTCCGCAGCTGCTGCTGTCGACCTCCTTGGTGCTGAGAAGGTCGTAGCTGCTTCCGCTCCTAGTGGGAAGCGCAGCGGCTCCAGGGGAGGCAGGGGTGGCAGGGGTGGCGGACGTGGCGATGGAGGGGGCGGTGGTGGAGGCGGCGGGGGAGGTGGAGGTGGTGGGGGTGGTCGTGGGGGTGGAGGTGGTGGTGGGGGCGGTGGTGGTGCCGGGAGCAGTGGCTGTGGCAGCGGCGGTGGTGGCGGAGGGGGGAGTGGTGGTGGCGGCGGTGGTGGGGGCTTGGGTGACACCAGTGGTGGCCAGGGGCAGCAGCAGCAGCAGCAGCCGCAGCAGCGTCAGCGCCAGACCCCCACTTCCCAGCAGCTTCTTGACTGGTATGCCGGGCGTGGGGCGTCTGGGGGTCCTGGTCGCTGCCCCTATATCATTCGCGCAGGTCCCCGCGCTGGTCGCTAGTGCACCGGCTTTCACACTGAGTACCGCTGCTTCGCTAGGCTTAGCGACGCCTGGCGCGTCAAGTTTCCTGATGCTACTGAGTTCCCCAACAGGGCAGATCTGCTTAGGCGTGATGTACCTATCTTTGATCTTGACTATGATGCTATTCTTGCTGCCATGTATGCATTGACTGTTAGTGCTGAGGGTGACTGCTACTTGTGTGTGCCGCCTGACCCCGGTATAGCCCCAGGTATAGCGCCTGCAACTCTAGGTGCTAGTGAGTCTGCTCTCCCTGGTACTGCGTCCGCACAGGCCTTGCACACCTTTACTCTTGACTCTGGTGCTTCCCGCTGTTTCTTTCGCGACAGCACCACAGTCACTCCCCTCCCTGCCCCTGTCCCTGTCTCACTGCCTAACCCCTCTGGGGGCCCAGTGCTTGCACGGTCTTCCACTGTGCTTCCGTGTCCGGCGGTCCCGTCTGGTGAGCTGTCTGGTCTCCACCTCCCCTCGTTCTCTACGAACTTGGTGAGCAACGCCGCCCTTCAGGATCACTGGGTTGACACCTTTACTCCTGGAGGACAGCGTGTGGCGATCTGCACGTGCTCCCGGACCGGCCGTCACCTGGCCACGTTCACACGTGCGCCTGGGTCCAGTCTGTACA